TGAAATTTTTTCAATTATTTTAAAGGAAATAGCAAAAATTATATATTCTAAAAATGTTAAATTAAAAATTCAGTGAGGATGTATCATAGATATGTGACAATTGTCATAATCGCTATTTTTGAACTTTTTCAAATTTTTTTAAAGGAAACATCTTAAAATATATATTCTAAACATATTAAATTTAAAATTCAGTGAGGATGTATCATATATAGATGACAATTGTCATAATCGCTATTTTTGAACTTTTTCAAATTTTTTTAAAAGAAATATCTAAAAATATATATTCTAAACATGTTAAATTAAAAATTCAGTGAGGATGTATCATAGATAGGTGACTTTAACATGTTTAGAATATATATTTTTAGCTATCTCCTTTAAAAAAATTTGAAAAAGTTCAGCGATTATGACAATTGTCACCTATCTATGATACATCCTCACTGAATTTTAAATTTAACATGTTTAGAATATATATTTTTAGATATTTCCTTTAAAAAAGTTCAAAAATAGCGATTATGACAATTGTCACCTATCTATGAAACTTCCTCACTGAAATTTTAATTTAACATGTTTAGAATATATATTTTTAGCTATTTCCTTTAAAAAAATTTCAAAAAGTTCAAAAATAGCGATTTTGACAATTGTCATCTATCTATGATACATCCTCACTGAATTTTTAATTTAACATGTTTAGAATATATATTTTTAGATATTTCCTTTAAAAAAATTTGAAAAAGTTCAAAAATAGCGATTATGACAATTGTCACCTATATATGATACATCCTGACTGAATTTTTAATTTAACATGTTTAGAATATATATTTTTAGCTATTTGCTTTAAAAAAATTGAAAAAAGTTCAAAAATATTGATTATGACAATTGTCACCTATCTATGATACATCCTCACTGAATTTTTAATTTAACATGTTTAGAATATATATTTTTAGATATTTCCTTTAAAAAAATTTAAAAAAGTTCAAAAATAGCGATTATGACAATTGTCACCTAACTATGATATATCCTCACTGAATTTTTAATTTAACATGTTTAGAATATATATTTTTAGATATTTCCTTTAAAAAAATTTAAAAAAGTTCAAAAATAGCGATTATGACAATTGTCACCTATCTATGATACATCCTCACTGAATTTTGAATTTAACATGTTTAGAATATATATTTTTAGATATTTCCTTTAAAAAAATTTGAAAAAGTTCAAAAATAGCGATTATGACAATTGTCACCTATATATGATACATCCTCACTGAATTTTAAATTTAACATGTTTAGAATATATATTTTAAGATGTTTCCTTTAAAAAAATTTGAAAAAGTTCAAAAATAGCGATTATGACAATTGTCACATATCTATGATACATCCTCACTGAATTTTGAATTTAACATGGTTAGAATATATATTTTTTGCTATTTCCTTTAAGAAAATTGAAAAAAGTTCAAAAATAGCGATTATGACAATTGTCACCTATCTATGATACATCCTCACTGAATTTTTAATTTAACATGTTTAGAATATATATTTTTAGCAATTTGCTTTAAAAAAACTCAAAAAAGTTCAAAAATAGCGATTATGACAATTACCACTTATCTATGGTACATCATCACTGAAATTTTGATTTAACATGTCTACAATATATATTTTTATCTATTTCATTTAAAAAAGTTCAAAAATAATTATCATGACAAATGGCACTTTTCTATGGTACATCACTTAAAAATTTTAAAATATAACTATGATGAATAGTTAATCAGAGCATTATAATTTAAAGAAGCTTTAAGTAACTTTCCCGCCTATAATATTAATATATACTAAATGTTATTTGACTTTTGGTCGAAAAAAATGATCTAGATAATTGGGTTAGGGGTGAAAAAAAGCAACCCTAACTTTAAGTCGTCTTTAAAAAAAAGATCCATATTTTGGGTCGGATTGAATGACCCGATGTTTGAGTCTGAGTCAGAAAAACAACCCAAACTTTGAGTTGGAGTCGAAAAATACGACCCAAACTTCAAGTTTTAGTCGAAAAATACGACCCAAATTTTGAGTCGGAGTCGTAAAAAACGACCCATATTTTGGGTCGAGGTCGTTTTTTTCGGCTTGGACTTGGGTCGGAGTCGAAAAAAACGACCCATATTTTGGGTCGAAGTCGTTTTTTTCGGCTTGAACTCTGGTCGAAGTCGTAAAAAACGACCAAAACTTTGAGTTGGAGTCGAAAAAAACGACCCAAAATTTGCGTGAGCTCTGTTCGAGCCGACTCGGCTAAGCCGATTAACAACACTACTCAACGAACATACATTCTTTTTCAGAAATAAAGAAGACAATTTATTAGCTCAGTGACCATAATAAAGTACAGCAGTGTATAAACCTTAGATTTAAATTGATTACTAAAGTGAAATGTATTATATGATGTGTTTAATGATGTTTCAATTGTAAAAACGGTTTATTAAAATCATTTCATGAAAATTGAATAAAATTTTACATCTATATTTTTTACTAAGTTTCAAATTTAAGAAATATAATACTTTACACATATTGAAAATTTTTTTTACAGTTTTTTTTAATTTATGAAGTGCTAATTAAAAACAAAATAAATAGATGCTACAAAATCTGTGTAAAATCATGTTAAACGATGTCTGATTATGTTAGATTATAATTATGTAAGAAAAATATAATATATACTTATTTGTTGAATAACTATATCTGTTTAAAATAAATAAATAAAGAAAACTGGTAATATAAAGGTTATTAATTAATTAAAGTTAGATATTCTAAAGAGCAAAACATTTTTAGTGTATTCCAAGAAGTCGATCTCTAAAAAGGTTCATCCCAAGTGGATAGGACACGGACGAAGAGCCCGTTCTCATTCTTTATTTTTTTAGAATGATTATTGCATTATATAAAAGTTGTCTCTTATCTCAGGATTTTAAATATAATTATACCCCTCAATAAAGTTATATTTTATATAAATATAGTTTCATCATAAAAATAGTAGCTAAGCTAAATTAGAAGCGCCTAAATTTTTTCTTAATTATAATAAAAAGATATTAAAGCTTCTAAAATAATAGGGAAAACGGCTTTAGAATAAATCTCTGTCAAGATTTATATAAGTATATGACCTAAAAAACATAAAATGAAAATTATAAAGAGCATTCTTAATGGTTCTGTTAGTTCTGTACTTGGATTAATTTTTTTTTGCAAAAAAATTACAAAATAATTACGCTGTATACTTTTATTGTTTAATATTTTATCTAAAAATACAATAATATGCATATATTATATGTTGGAAGAGGATTATATTTTTATTAGATAAATAGAAGCGGGCCCTAAGTTTTTCCTATTTTGATTGGTTATTCGTTTTCATTGCTATCTCTTATCGTCTACTCAGGATTGTACATTTTCAGAAAATTTAAGTTTAAAAAAAACAATGAGATATGGAAGACAAGATTAAAAATAAAAGAGAAAGATGACCATACAAACATAAAATACCCCAGATCGGTGGGAAAATTTTTTTAAAGTAAACGAAAGGATGTGAAATTTATTTAAAAAAAATATATAATACAAAGAAATCGGGAATAATAAAACAAAATTACTTAAGGCAAAGTAATTCCTTGATCACCCACACTTTTAAACAATTATATATCAGATAATAACTTTGCTACTATACGTAATTTGGTGTAGACATTTGGTAACTGATTGATATAGCATTCGCGCTAATAAATAACACATCTTTTTGGCTTCTCTCAATTCTTTTACTAACAAGTAGTATAACAGAATCAGGCTGTGCCACTGGCTAAACCTATCACCAGCCTTTGTCTTTATTAATCAAATACCCCTCGCCCACTTCAGATTTAGTAATTTTAAGCCTCCATATCGCAGGTTTAAGATCTTTACATTTAGCAATAAATTTTATTAATAGAATTATTACTCTTCGCTCTATCGGGATACCCATAGAAAAACTATATTTCCATGATCTTCACTTATTACTCTTTTTACTTTCAGATTACCTGTTTTAGCCAGAACCTTAACAATATTAATATTAGATCGAAATATTAATACATCAATTTTTGATACGGTTAGAGAGGGTAACTCCATTTTATTTCGACACTTATTTTAATTTTTTTGAACATTCAGAAAAATACATTCTTATCTTACCAGGGTTTGGTTTAATTTCTCATATTTTACCAGATATTTCTAATAAAAAAATTTACCTTTGATTATCTTAATATAATCTATGCTATAGCAGGGATCGGAGGATTAGGTTTTTAGTATAGGTTCATCACATATTTACAATAGGACTAGACGACGATACCCTTGCTTTTTTTCCCTCAGCTACTATAATCATTGCTATCCTCACAGGAATTAAAATTTTTAGCTTATTAGTAACTATATCCGGATATCCTAATAATTTTTCTAACTCTCAAATTGGAGTCTTAAGATTTTTACGGCTAGGGGTTTAATAGGAATTAACTTAAGCTCCTCTTCCCTAGATATACCCTTCATAATACCAATTATGTGGTAGCTCATTTTCATTATGTTTTATCTATAGGAGCAGTAGTCTATATTTTTGCAGGAGTTTTACATTTTATACCTTTACTTTTAGGAGTTTCAACCCCTATAATTATTAGTTTACCCCAAATTTATTTGCAGGTGCAAATCTAACCTTTTTCCCACATCACATCTTGGGATTAGAAGGCATATCGCAACGATATACAGATAACACTGATAGATTTACATTTTAAAATAGGGTCTCATAATTAGATTCAATTCTATTTATGTATTGGAGTCGTTGAAGTATGCTTGTCTCAAAAATTTAGGAACGTTTTTTCTCATAGATTAATTCACAATTTTTTTAATTCAGTTAGAATGGGAGAGTCCAGGCGTAGCTCTGTTATAATTTACAACTCATGACTCGCTTCTAAATGTCGAAAGATGAATTATGATTATAAAATATATAAGATCGATTATATATTAATGCATTTATTGATATACCTGAATGATTAGGTTCTCCGGTTGTGGTGTCAGCAGAGGTTATAGTTGTATTGTTAACTGTAATAAAATTTTAAGTAATATTTTTTACAATTGAGGTATATTATAAATAAAATTAGCTTAAATTGAATATTTTTTTGTTCCATTAACCAGGCGTAGCTAGAAATTTTTAGGTAGGAGGTGGGGGAGGAGGGTGTTTATTTAGGATTGGGGTGTAATATTATTATGTTATTTATATTGGAAATTTTTAAATGTAAAAAATTATGTATACCTCTAATAGAAGATTTTTATTATTAAATTTTAATAAAACAATAAAACAATAAAATTCTAAATTTTTAGGTCTTTTCACATGAGCCATTGGAATTTAATTTACTTTTCTTTATCTTTAATTGATACTCTGATGCTCGATAAAACTACCTTGAGTATAAATGAGGTCTCACAAGAAGCAGCTGACACCCAAATGATAATGGCTACTGAATAGTATTTTTATAATTTATAGGTTCATTCATGTATATTATTAATAATATTTTTAAAATTATATTTCAGCTGGTATAAATCCTTTTACGATTTTCATTGTTTCAATATGAAGGTAATAAGGACGCAAAAGAGCCATTCTACAATAGAATTATTTGGATCAAGGGGGGTCGGAAGATTTCCTAATAAGAAAATATATTAGAAAAATAAAATAATATTTACCAATACCCTCAAAATTTTGTTAAATATAGAATATGTTTCCAAATATTAATTCATCGCTTTACAGAATTCATTAAAACGCCTTAAAGAAATCGTACAATTTGTTTGCTAAATTGAAATTAAATATTACAGAAATATTTTTAAACAAATTATTGACAAAGGGATACAATTTGTAAAAAATATATACCTTTTTATTAATTTTTCTAGAGTAAAGTTTGCGCTTCTGCATTTCGATAAAACATGACATTTGCATCATTATAGGACTAGTTTAGTTTATTATAAAATAAATTAATCCTTAAATGATTAAGTTGTTTTATAATGTAAATTGTAATGTTTTCGGCAGAATTTCCAAATCAAGCATTCATATTAAAATATCTTTAATTTTTCCACAAAAAATATACCGAATAATCAAATATTTACAGCTTGTTTTATCTTTTGCTTATCAGCTTTAAGAAATAAAAATTTCATCTCACTTTTGTTATAATCTTTTTCCAAAACCATCTGCCGTAGATATGACTTCTTTGAATTTAAAGTGATGTGCATTGGGCATATTTTGTTATTGATTTCTTTTTAAAAAATTTTACATTTTTGGAAGATGAAGGAACATTGCACTAAATTTCCTGTATAATTTAATTTTCATCTGCAGCATTAGTTATTATGGTAAAACCAGATCGAAAATATAAACCAAATAAGATTTCCAATAATATTGATTACACTCAACTTGACACCAAGATTTTGATATTTCTGTATCCTTCTTTTCGAACCATATTAAAATTAGAGACCTTTAGAAGTTGTATGTTTTAAGTGTTTTATTTTGTTTTTAAATTAAATGGTTAATTAAATAAAAATTATTTTTTTTTAAATTTGGGGACCGGAAATATTTATATAGGTCATTTCTGGAGGCTAAAAATTGGAGAAAAAATATAAGGTTTTAAATTTTTTTGCGAGATTCCGACCCCCCTTCACCTACTCCCCTGCTGATGGCTACAAAAAATATAAGATGAATGTAAGAGCATGAATAATTTTAAATATTTTTATTCAAAAAAATATTAGTTAAAAAGTTAAACAAATTAGTTTAAACAATTTGATCGATTAATCAAAACATAATGATATAAATGGAGGTCTAGTTATAGACTTTACTGTAATAAAAATTTAGGACTAATAAAGATATTGAGAAATTTTCCTCTGGTTTAGGTTATATTTTGACTTCCATTTTATTCAGTTATTATAAGGGTTTTTATTTTCAATTAATATAAAGAAATATCTTTTTTATTAAAATGATCTTTAAAACTATAATGCATCTGTACTAAGAGATGGGAAAGTGGAAATTTATCTCCCCCTTGGGAAATTTGCCGTATCTTTTAAATATAATTTCCTAAATAATTTTAAAATAAGAAAAATTTAGAAAAAAATTAATTTTATAGAAAAATAAGTAAGGCAATCAAAATTATTTTATAAAATTATAACTCAACCAAAGGACTACAATGATTGGATTTAAAGATCCTACAAAAACCTTATGCGAAATTCACCTAATAGTGCTCTCTCCCCATAATAATATTTTAGATATGCCTATTCTACTTCAAATAAAAAAATACTAAAGATATAGTTTAATTTAAGGAAATTATATTTAATTTATCAGTTGAAAGAATTATCAGACTATCCATATTCGATAGATCCCACTATTAACATATTAAAATTGCTATTCAAAAATTAATGAGTGATATAAATTTAGTTATAAACAATTTCATACTAATAAGTTTAGATAATTACAATGAAAGATAATTTATAGAACAATCAAATAAAAAATTTACAATAAATTTGATATATCACGTAAAAATATTGGTTTTTTATAAAAAAAACTTTTCAATATATTTATATTTTTTGTCAATTATGCTGGAGATAATCATTTATTTAATGGATTATTAAATAGATATTTATTATAACTTGGGTTAAGATAATATATGAAAATATTGTTATAAAATTTAAATGTGTTAAAAAAATTATTTGTGATCTAATCAATCAATCTAAAATATGATTTTCATATCCACTGATATATCTTAATAACTATTTAACTTTTCTCCATTATAAGATAATCAATTCAATTAAAATAAATAATATATTATTTTCATATTGTTCATTTTAATTTTCAGATTTCTTAATAACAATGCTAAAAGTCGTATTTTACCAAAAGATGCTTAATAAGATGTTTCAATTTGTTATATTCTAAATTGCCATAATAAATCGTCCAAACTATTTACTAAATAACTTACTTCAAATTTTTATTTATTCATTTTCCATATTGAAGTTTTCATATTCAAGTTATGATTCACTTCTATAAATATATTCATGAGAATTCAGTTAAAATGCGAGGCTTCTATTGAATATTTTTAATGGTCAAAAGTTAATATTTTTTCTCTAATAAAAATAGGAGGCATAATTATGAGTAAATTCAGAAAGATATCTTGTGTAACCATGTAAAAAAAAGCTGATGAATTTTCCTTCAATTATTTCTTTTCTTGAATAAATATCATTAATATGATATATTATAAAAAAAGGCATATTATTATTTTTTTCTAAGAAAAAAATGATAAAAGCGAAAAATAATTATAATTTAGAACAAATGGATAAAAATCTATAAAAATATATTTCTAGAAAAAACAGAAAATAGGAAAGAGAAGGCATAAAATGCTAAGTAATATAATCCTAAGGAATGTATCTCTAAATTATTTTTCTATTTTAATATTCCTTAAAGATCTACATCAACAATCGTTAATTAATTTAATTAAGTCTGAGTTTATATTATTTAGAACATCATTTAATGTATCCATATAATAATGTACTATCTAGATTTTATGATTATAGGATTATCTAAATATTTTAGCATTTGACCTAAAAATCGGAAATATCTAGATGAAAAAGTTGATCACCAAATGGAAATTAGGTGGTTGATGGAAATGAACTAGGCGACTTTATAAATTGTGAAATAATAGTCTATTGTTGTCCAATTATGGATAAGTAAAGACCTTGGCCTAGTAAGCTTGAAAATAAATTGAGAAAATGAAATGGTAGAGTAGCAATTTTATTTTGAACTAAGGTAATAATTAAATGAGAGAATCGGCAAAAATAATTATCGAAGAAAATAATACTAACATATAGGGAGTGATGGAATTATAAAATTTACGAAAGGTGAAAGAGATAAGAGATTACAAACATATAGTAAATGATGAGGAATGAATAACTTAAAGGAGCCATATTATGCTTAGGGCTAAGTAAGAAGATAAGGGAATTACAGGCGGATGTATAAATAAATTTTATGACAGTATTATCAAAGATACTAAAGAAGATTAGTATGATATCGGATAAATACCACAATGCTGATTAAGGGCAGATTTGAAAATGTGATAATAAATGTTTACGTTGGCATGGGTAATATATACTGACTACAGCATAGAAATAAAATTACCACAGCTCATTGGGAATGAAATTTAAAATCATAAAGATTTTGAGATAATGAAGATATTCCTAGAGATGTAGAATTTGATCGGGAATAGAAATGTTGTAATTTAATAGATGATTTTAAAGTGATAGGTGAGTAACATATAAATGTATAGCAAATAATATTTATTAATTTAAAAAATAAAATCGCCTTTTTTAATAACTCAAAATATATTTAATATTATTTGTCTCCTAATAACAATTCATAAATAATATATAAAATAAATATTATTTTTAATAATAAAAAATATGTTTCACACCGCTACGCCGCCAATTTTTTACATCGGCGGCGGCATGTTGAGCGCGGATAATTTTTTGGCGGCGGCGTAAGCATCGTCAAAAACTACAGGCGGCGCGCATGTCTAGATTTTTTATTTAGGTATTATATTTAATATTTTTTTTGAAATGTAAAATTTAAATAAAGTTTAGTATTATTTTATTATAAAACTTGCTTTAAAAACTAGCCCCAGCTTAAATTCTCATACAATATAAAAATTTTCTTGAAAATACTAATTGTAATGTGTATAAAATATTGACTGGAAAATATTTAAAAAACAAGTTTTTATAACTTTTTATCAAATACAATATTATACAAAAGATTTATTAAATACTATAGCTAACCCATTTAGCCGAGATTCATAAGTAGTATTTCCAAATAAGTTTTCAGGTTTATTTTATTTTATATTATAAGATTTAGCTTTTGATTCAACTTCTAGATAAATATTATGAAATTATTCATTACATTGATTCTTATTTTATTTACCTGTTTATATAAATTTTCCACCAAATTAATGACTGAACCAAATTTAAATTTGGTTTTTGTTAATTTCTACAAAGTTGTTAGCTATAGGAAAATAATTTAATATTGCAAC